CACCATGGATTAAATCCTCCAAACATGGCGGCATCTGGGCCCAGAGGGAAGCATGTCACTGGAAATGCTAGTATCAGACAAGGCAGAAAAGTTGAGCATCACGGAGCTTAATGTCTGACCTAAGCCAGCGAGACAGGGCCTGGAGCAGGGCCGGGGACGTGGCAGGGCGGCGAGAGCAGGGACGGGTGAACCACATGGGGACAAGCCCGCAGTAGAGCGGCAGCAACAACAGAGCTGGTTCTCCAACAAGGTAAGAGAACAGGCCAACCGGGGGGCGGGGCCACGGTGCCTCCACAGCTGCTCCCTGCCTCAATGGGGAAGGAGACCCCTGGAGGGAGGGGCCGGCAGAAGGAGGGAGGGGCGGGCAGAAGGAGCGAGATGCAGACACTGCGAGGCAGGAGGATGGACCAGCTCCTGCAGCCCCTGCCCCGTGAGGCCCTCCCTGGGGCAACGCTGGCGGGCAGCAACAGCAACGCGCACCGGCCCTGGCAAGCTTCCTGGGACTTCTCTCGCCCCCTCCAGCCCTGCACCTGTCACCCAAAGGGTCCCTGGGCGGACCCTCTCCAGGCTGCCATTTGGCACCAAGAACACACCTCCTGGGAGCGGAGCACTAGGCCTGGACAACGTGTTTGATGGAAGGCTCCAGAAACGGAGATGTTTCTTTACAATACGGACCCCTGCCCTCCTCCGGGACAGCGGCTGCTGCCAGGACTGCAGCGTGGTGCTTTTCAAAACAGAAACGGATTCCTCTCATGTAAGAGTGAAACCGGGACACAGGCGACCAAGTCTTCTCCAGCACCTGCTGCATGCAGCCCTAGACCCACTGCAGGCTTCCCCAGGGGCTTCTGATACACCCCATCTGTTACCACACACTGTGCCCTTCAAGGATCTAACCCAGGGCTGGGTAAGGGGGGAGGGGTGGGGACGGAGGAGCAGAGGAGGGGAGGGGAGAGGCCGGGGAGATGTTCCACCCAGGACGGCCTGGTGGGAAGGGTAGGTGTGTCTACAGACACACAAGGGGCCAGGAGACAGGTGCAGCCTGCCGGGGGCCTGCGGAAGACCCCCCAAATCACAACCCTGGGAGAGTCAAGTCAGCAGTCCCGCCTCACAGGCTCCCCAAGGGCCCAGGCTCCAGTGAGACCAGCTAAAGCTCCGGGCCTAGGCAGGGGCTGTAGGTGCAGCCCCAGCCCCCCTGCCCTGATGTCCCCTTGGGGTCACCTCGGCTGGGAGAGCAGGGTGCAGCAGGGCGTCACTCAGCCTGGCCGCACATCCAGTCCAGGGAGTCGGACGTGGCCAGGCTCTTAGCCACACACCACTGTGCAGACAGATGTGGGTCCTGCACCCCTCCAGAGCTCCCTGGGGACCGCTTGGTCTGCTGGAAAGAAACCAGAGCAGACAGACAAGGGGGAACAGACAAGGAGGAAAAAGAAAAGAATTCAGAAGCGCCAACTGCAGAGGGTGGAGCCCACCAGGAGAGCTGCCCTTGACCTCCATGACCCGCAGCACCCCCTGTGCATGCTGGGAAGGACACCACCTGCAGTTCCCACAAAGCCCTAGAACGAAGAGCTGCGTCCACATGGGAGCAGTCGGAACACCCAGTCTACGCTGACACACGGTGCCCCCATGTGGGCCAGAGAGGAACTGCACGGCACAGTGTTGACACCGGGTCATTTTTCAGATCTCAACTGACAGGCTTTTCTTCCAAGGTGCCTTTGGGAGGACGTGAACCGCCAGCCTTTCAGTTAGCAGTCAAGCATGTTCACCATTTGTTCCACCAATGAGACTTCCGTAGCGAAAACAAAGAAAGTGTTCAGATGCTACGCAATGACTTCAGGACAGCGACTGTCTTCAGGAAGGGTAACGGTGGAGCTACATCCGGCACTAGAACACTATTTCTTCAAGAAACAAGGACACCACCGGCTGCTGGGCAAGAGAGACATGAGGCAGTTGGCTTCTGTGAAGACTGACAGCCTGGGAGACCCTGTGGTGCAGTTCCACTCTGTCCTCTAGGGGCGCTGTGGGTCAGAATGGACTCCAGGGCAGTGGGTGTGGTTTGGGCTTTGCTTCTGTGAAGACTGACAGCCTTGGAGACCCTGTGGGCAGTTCCACTCTGTCCTCTAGGGGCGCTGTGGGTCAGAATGGACTCCAGGCAGTGGGTGTGGTTTGGGCTTTGCTTCCATGAAGATTGACAGCCTGGGAGACCCTGTGGTGCAGTTCCACTCTGTCCTCTAGGGGCGCTGTGGGTCAGAACTGACTTGACAGCAAGTGGTTTGGTTTGGTTTACGTGTATTTAGAAACAAACAAGCAACAACTGATCACTGTGGAGTCACTGCAGACTCCTGGCGACCCTGGGTCAGTGCAGAACGGCTCCATACGATTTAACTGGCTGTGATCTTTTGGAAGGAGGTTGCCAGGCCTGTGCCCACAGCACTGCCGGATCAGCTTGAAATGTTGACCTTCAAGTTAGTAGTCAAGCACAGACCAACAGCACCCCATAAGGATTATAATGAGAACCCAAGTTGGGCTGAGTGGGCGAGGAAGGAGAGGAGATGGGGGGTGTCTGGTGCCTTCCTACTTACAGCACAAGCTTTGTTGTAAAGGAAACACGTTCCCATGGCGGGAGGTGGAGCCACTCCTGTAAATTATGCGTTTCAGCCCGTTTCTATCCATCAGCGTCAAAGGAGCTCGTAGGATAAACCGAACTGTCAGAGAACGTGCAAAAGCCAAGTGGAGTGATGTCAAACATGCCTGAGACTGTTATCTCTGCGGTGTCGCAAACAAGTGGCTCTGAGGAAAATGTCATCTTGCTCCTCAGATGAGGACGTGGCCTGCAGTGACTCTTTCTGTGTGGAACCCACTTCCCAGCAGGCTGCACTGCGGGGTCCCTGACCCACACCTGATCCCCTTCACCTCCAGCTGCTCCCTGAGACATGGTGACACGTTCTACATGCAGGACTTCAAGGTCAAAGTCACCAGTACGGCCGAGCAGTGTGTCCCCTTACCCTACCAGAGACTTGTGGGTACTGGTTTAGGATCCTCCTCAAACAATCTGACGAGCAATGTTGTAAAAACGCGCAGTACACACCGGGAAGGCCGGCGGGAACGTGCAGTGCACGCTGGGAAGGCCGGCGGGAACACGCAGTGCATGCTGGGAAAGCCGGCAATGCCCCTCTCCTTTGACCAACGGGAGCCAGTTAGGAGGGAGTTGGATGACTTGTCTCCACACCAAGGGGTTCAGTGCCACCTCCACCCAGCATGCTCCCCGAGTTGGGGGGCTCTCCGCAGGAGGAGAATTGGTGTGAAGGCCATGGGAAGGCCCCGGGACTCTGAGCTGCTGCTGTGTGGGCAGTATCACCAACGCTGTCAGGACCAATCAGCGGGCATTGAGAGGCATCATCTGTCAGGGGCTAGTGAATTCATGGCCACATAGTGGGTGGTCCAAAGAGCCCTGGGGAGAAGACATCACCATCCTCATCCCACAGATGAGGAAATAATGCCCAGAGACATTAAGGAACTGGCTTAAGCTCACACAGTCCCACACAGTGCAGCCAGGACCCCAGACCCACCATGCCCAACACTGGAGTCCAAGTCTGGCCACCAAGCCCAGGACCGTTTCGGGCCGGCTGCGGTCTCAAGCCTGTGAACGACTCTGAGGCCCCCCTCGTCCTAGGCCCCTGAGACTGCACGTGTCTACCGTCTCCCTGCAGTCCCCCAGCTCCCAGGCCCCGGGCCTGGGCCGGACCAGGGAACTGTCTCCAGATGCCTACGCGGGAGGATGAGGATTCAGTGTTTAAACAAAATGACACTGGTAAAAAGGACCGGAGACGCTGACAACTGCTGACGTCACACGGGCCAAAATAAACAAGTGAGCATGTTCCACATGTTCCCTCTAACGCTCCCCCGTGGCCACCGCTTCAGCCCGGCAGGCCGGCCTGGGGAGGAAAAGGGTGAACAGCAGGCCCATATAAAGGAGTGACTGTGGGCCTCCCGCAGGGCCCAGCGCCTGCCGCCGGAGCACCTCCCAGGAGCACGGCAGGGAGACAGCCGAGCTCTGTGTTGGGGAAATGCCGCGAGGGGTCCTTGGCAGGCCTCAGAGAGCCACTATGTGCAGAAAGAAGCCTCGTCTTTGAAAGTCCAGCCTTGCTTCCTGCTTGCTTTGGGTTTAAGGGCGATTAGGGAAGGCGTGCAAATAGGGTGGTCCAGTGGGCCCCAGGAAGGGGACCACTGGGCTGGCCCACCTCCCCAGCCCCAGCCAGCCCTGCCTGCGGGACAGGAGGTGGCTGGGAGGGAGCGCGGAGCGGGCAGTGGAGGGGCGGGCTGTCAAAGGCCCCAGAGACAAGGCCTGGAGACGGGACAGTGGCAGGTGTCCAGCAGGCCACCCTGGAAATGCCAGCAGAGCCATCTCTGCGTGGGGGCCCTTCTGGAGGGCCAGGTTTCAGCGGGCAGTGAAGGCCACCCACACTCGGAGTGGTGTCCCTGGTGGCAAAGGCCCTGGAGTGGGTATTTCCCAGAAAAGCAAGCCTGTGAGGCGACGCGGATCTGAGAACGAGTGTCTGAGATGAGGCTTAGAGACGATGTGTGCGGAGCCCACGTGCACGCAAACAGCCAGTGGGATGGGAACTCGGGTCACAGGCCAGGCTCCTGTTTACACAGACTGGCCGTCTCACCCACTCAGGTGACCGTGCAGAGCCAGAGGCAAGAGGCGCTGCCCGGCCAAGTGGCGGCCCACAGCCCCGCAGCCCGAGCACACTTTGCAGGGACCCTCAGCGGCTGGAACCCTTGCAGGGATCCCGACGGAACGGCCACGCTTCTCCACCACTTAGGGCATCAGGCCAACCCGGGTTCATTTCCAGAAAAAAACGGCCTATTTACCCCAGGAACGGGACACCCCAATGCGTACTGGGGCACCCAGTACGCAAGTCTGTGACCCGCAGCCCCTCCACAGTAACACAGAGCCTCGGTCCCTGTCGCTGGGCCGGCCAGGCCGCAGTGCAACTCACCCGTGCTGGGCATGTGGTTCACGCGGGCGGGGCCAAGCAGCTCCACTGGCTGGTCTCGGCCGGAAAGTCCGTCTGGAGAACAGAAGGGCACAGGTTTCAGAGCGCGCTCACGCCTCAGCACAAGCACCTCCGCTGAGAGCCTGCCTGGCGCAGCCGACAGCCAGCAGAGCACGCGTGCCTCGTGTGTTCATGACAACGCGTTGCGGACTACTTTCCTCAGCAAAATCAGAGACAAACCCACCGTGCCCACCTGAGGAGTAGCCACTGGTCCCCACCTGAGGAACAACAGACCCTGACTTCTGGCCCGGGAGCCCCTGGCCGCTGTTCTGAGCTGCAGCCCACGCAATACCTACTTGTGTTGTTGTTGTTGTTGTTGTTGTTATGTGCCGTCGAGTATGTCAGGGCAACTATGCCCGTCCGCTCTGCAGCAACCATGGTACCCTGGTAATGAAATCACAGAAGCTGTCCAGCTTCTCCCCAGACAAAAGGCCTGGATGCCGGCAGACCTGGGACCCACAGTCCCTCGGCCATGGGGTGGCTCGTGGGACAGGCAGGGGACCGGCCAGCAGCAGGGCCGACGGACAGACACGCAAACTGCTCTTAGTAATTCTTCGCCAGGGGCTTAGGCTTCAGGACTCGTTTTGGCCACACCCACGTTTTGACTGTATTCAGGAAGTTTCTCTCTCTCTCTCTCTCTCTCTCTATATATATATTTTTTTTTCAGAGCCCTCCAGAGAAGAGACTGGAACCCAGCCACCCCTAAACTGGGAGCCAGCTGGGCTTGGACAGCTGAGAGTTCCCGTGGGCTCCTGGACGAACAGGGAGGGGAGCTGGGAAAATGTTCAGGAGTCACACTTCTCTTCTAAAAGGCGCTGCAGGTGAGTGACACAGACGGCATGCGATGGCGTGTGCCTCGCAGCTGACTTCTGACACCGCGTCATCTCACTGCTAACATAAGGAAGACAGTGATGGCTTCTGGGACCAGCGCCAAGCTCATGTCACAGCTGGACAGAAGCACGTCAGGCCGAGGGGCCTTTCACCAAATTAACACAGGGTCCAAACTAACACAGCCTTCCAAAGTGGTATGAACCCTGGTTTGTTTGTGGACACAAACACCACCACAGCACTGAGGTTACCTCACAGCCCTCTCTGGACGTGGAACAACCCCAAGGAGTCACCGGAGTGTGTGCTGGCCCACACGGTGACAGACGTCACACGGTGAGGCCACCCCACACGGTGACGCTGGCCCACACAGTGATGCCGCCTTGCACGCAGTCACACATCACATGGACATACGTCACACAGTGAGGCCACCCCACACGGTGAGGCCACCCCACATGGTGACGCTGGCCTGCACAGTGATGACACCTCGCATACACAATGACGCATGATACACGGTGACACAGACACA